CGTCATTTTACCGTTATGAATGATACGCTGTTGTAAGAAAGTAATTACGGTTGTAATAATATAAATTTCCGTTGAAAATAAAGATAAAGAATTTAAAATATAATAGAATATTGTAGAATATGCAAGAAAAAATATCTGACATATGTTTGCGGTTCGGATCGGAATAGCCGTCCCTCGGTAACCCGCCCATGGGTGGTAACTCGGCAAGCCTCGTAACCGCCCAATGGGCGGGTCACCTCAACAAATGACAGATATTATAAATCTTTATTTGTAAATCATACGTGGTTTTAAAAGCCCTTTGATTGAATGTGTGAGATATATTGAAATGTACTCTTTATTTCTAACTTTTTTTTCTTTCTACGCAGTTTGTTACCTGCATTAGCCTACTAAAATATGTACCTTGGTCGTCCTTCTTCCTGATCTATATCTTACAGGCTATTTGTATTTGTAATTCTTTCATTCGCCGATATGTTCAAAAGTGAAGTAAACTTTTTGGCTTCCCGATCGATATCTTTGTTAGATTATTTTTTTTTCTTTTTAAAAACAAAGAGTTTGAGGTAAACTAAGGTAAACAATATTTTAAAGTTTCCTTTACCTAAAGAGGGACGTACAGTACACACAAACCCATGAAAATTCAATATGAACGCTACCATCAATATTTGATTATTGTATTCTGTTTATAATTAAAAAGTGACAAGCAAAACCGTATTTTAGTTAACAATAATCGTGTCATATCAATACTTTTGCCACTCTCTTTATTGATAAATGAATGTATTGTTTAAGCTCATGTGAATTGTAGTCTTATACTTCAAGACAGGTTCTTTAATATACCGTACAGCATTTTATACATTTCAACATCCTTATTTTAAGGTTATTCATAAACCTCCCCAGTGAATTTATATTCCACAATAAAAAGGATTTTAGGGCTTTTTTATTTATTTCAAAGTTTATATTAAAAATGTGTAGAATAATTTCAAATTATCGTATATCTGCATAAGACTTTGCTAGTGACAAGCGCTTGGAATGGGTAAGAAAAACAACCAATGTTTTTCAACCAAAATTTTTTCCCTTTTCATGTATTTCTTACAAGAAAACGTGGTTAAAATTAAACCCCGCTCTTCTAAATTTTAAATTTTTCGGGTGTCAAACCCCGTTTTTTTATATTTTTGAAATTTAATTTTTCTTTAAAATCCCAATTTTAATTGTTGTCTTTCAAGTCCGGTGCCTTACCTACAATATTTAAATTTTTTCATTTGTAACCCCTATCAAAATGCTTAATTCCCAAAATCATAAATTTAAACCTACCAAACAATGTGGTTAGCATTTTAACATGGGGGATTAAGAATTTTTTTCAAACCCCTTTTTTTTGGGGTTTAATGTTAATTTTCCTTCTAAAAAGGGGGTCTTTTCAAATTTAATTTTCAAGGCTTTTAAAAACGGGGCGTTTTTACAATATTTTTTTCAAAAATATTTAAAGTTACTTAATATATCAAGAGTGGGTTTTTGTTTTGCTTATATTTAATCATTTATTGAAACCATTTTTAAAAAATTCAAATTTTGATATTGTATTGCAGACAGCTTATAAAAATCATAATTTTGATATTGTATTGCAGACAGCTTATAAAAATCATAATTTTGATATTGTATTGCAGACAGCTTCTAAAAATCATAATTTTGATATTGTATTGCAGACAGCTTCTAAAAATCATAATTTTGATATTGTATTGCAGACAGCTTCTAAAAATCATAATTAGATTTTTTCTTCTTTTTGGAACTGATAAGCATTTGCCTTGTGTGCATTTCTGTTAACGTTTATCTCCGTGTGAACATTTTAATGTTATAATATTAACAATAATATTGATAGCGTTGTCACTGACCAGCAATTCAAAATCATGACGTCAATGGGTGACGTCGACGTAAAAGCTATTAAAAAATTTTGCATGGGTTGCGACAAGACGCATAGAGAAACGTTACTACAGCCCAGATCTATCCCGATTTTTTTCTGGACATTAAAGCAGAAATACTAGGGTAACGGTTTGAGAATTCCAACAAGCGTCGTATGTATACTCAAATTGTTGTTTTGTCTCGTTCAGTGATACATTCATACACAAAATGGTTACAGAGACAAAAACATGCATTTAGATCCTCGGTTATTGCGTTGAAAAGGGGAGAATGAGGCACTGGCGTTATCGTGACGTGATTTGCTTACACTGACATACTCCGGTCGTAATTTTTTCATTGTTTAATTAATTTACATAGTATTTATACATTATTTGCAAAACATGGCAGAACCTTAATAAATTCAAGATATCTTTGTATGAAAAAATCTGTGTTCCTAAAGAATCTTTATAATAACCCCTTGTATTTATACTTACACCAACATCGGCAATACAATAAGAAATCATAAGAAATGGAACATTTGTCAAAGAAACAGTATACCACAGCAGGAACACAAAAGTAGATTTTACATCTTTTTACAGAAGTTGAAAAAAATAGAAACAGGTGGAGATATATGGCAGAGGTTGTACGTAGAGACTACCCTGCCATGGGGAATATGGTATGCACATAACACATGTACGGATATAACAATAAGTAAAGAAACATCAGCTCCCCTATTATTAGGTTATAAATGAAGTATATGCTCGCCCATATGGTCTCTTTCCGGTGGCGAGGGTAAACAAACGCAAACACACACACGCTTCATTGGTTTTGCATACCACTTTAAGCTTCAAAATTAACTGTTTAAAGGTATGACTGGTGACATGTCCGGGGATCCGTACTAGACAGGGAAAGCTGCATTTTGTAGCCACACGAGCGGATGGACCCTCATTAAGCATAAGCTATAGTTAGAGAGCATCATTGATAACAACAGAAAATTTGATCTGCAGTTTGAACATGAAGTGAATGGTTTTAAAGCAATTCAACATAAAAGTATATTGATCTCCCAATAAATCAATTAACAAGAGTTTTTTTCTATATCACCATTGTCAAATAGCTTTTATATCTTTGACTCGCACGAACATGATGTTAGTGAATTTCCTCATACCTGCCTAAAATTCAGGTAACAGTCTTCTTTTATATTGATAAATACTGTATCGCCATGTTACGCGTGTATTACAAACAAAAAATTCCTGAATTTGGTCTTTTCCCATTTTTTCATTCCAGAGTGTGTTCTACTTTCAGTATTGAAAGAAACCTTTTTTTAATTTGACATAAAAAAATGCATGTAATATTACTAAATTATAATATTAGTCCCTTTTGTTACTTGTTGTATATTTGTTACAATTATATTAATAAAACAACAGACTTTGATATTTTTATCATCTTATGTTACTGACTACAATAGTGACACAAACAGAACACAGTACAGTCATGTCATATAACATTTACAAATCTTGTAAGTCTTGTTTGTATTCAATGGAATTACTTTCCTTACTAGGTAGGCATCAGTGAAATTAAATATCTTTCCCGTCTTTTTAATTATGGACAGTGCATAAGGTAAGTATAATTATGCAAAAAAAGGTTTACAAAACATTCGGAAAAAATCTACAATAGTACTTAATCTGAATATAACATGACCTGTGCATAGGAATAATTTGATAAGGTAACTGTAATGAGCGCATTTTTTTGCGCGGAGCTTCTCAATTGCTGCATTGCAGCAACGTTTGTACTTGTATAATGTTAGGTAAAGATAGAACAAATCTTGAGCATTGTATATATGTATCAAAATGCTTTCCCACATTTCATAAACCAAAATGTTTTAGTTATAAATATGTTACTGTCATGTGTCATTTATGTATCATATGTTGCATTTATATATGTAAAATTGTGATGAGCTTGTTATGCTTAAGTCTTACACTATCGGATTTTTTTTATATAAAAAACAAAAGCCCGAAGTGTGCATTATTCTACAACAATGCACTCGACGTTCTTATTATCTCCCTGAGTATTTTCACATTGAGGGCGCCATTTTGTTTGAAAAAAACTGACAAAAAAAATTTTGTCGCTATTGTTTTGTCACAAACGAGTCCAGTTTTACATTTATTTCACTTTTAATAATTTGTATTTTGCTTGAAAAATTAAAGAGTGAAATGAAATTAAGAAACAAAGTTTTATCAACGGTTTCAAAATCGGTTATTCTCAAAATGTTTCTACACAAGGTATGTTTAACGACAGTTTTTTTTTCAACCCAATGGAAGAGCCTTTAAAGAACGTTTCTATTGGATAGTCTGAGACGAAGACAAATTTAACCACCAAACATAAAGTCCAACTTTATAATAATAATTATATTTTTTCTTGACGAGTAAGAATGAAAATATATATCAATTTTTCGTGCATTATTGTATAATAATGCACACTTTTCGTTCAAATGCTTTGTAAATAATCACTCAGGCATATCGGCCTTCGATTATGTTACTACGCATTTGAACTCAAACAGTGCATTATTCTACAACAATGCACTCAGAATTGATATCTATTTCCTAAACAAAGTAATGAAATTTCTGTCCTGTTCTGTTATGTTCTGTATAACATAAACGACGTCACGTCAAAATGTATTAACAGCCTTGAAAAAGCATTTTCAATGAGTCGCAAAAGCGCCACGGGTATGTGATTGATGGAATTTTTTCTATATAAACAATAAAGCCCGAAGCTTGCATTATTCTACAACATCATGGATATAAATTTCCAAACGATACTTTCAAAGAGAAAGTCTATGTATTTCATTACTTCATTATAATTTTGTTACATAATTTTTTTTCTTTGCAGAAAAATTCGATTATTACCTTTGAGTTTTTTTTCAGATTTATTTGTCATTACTACAACATTCAGATACACAATACATCTCATTGTTTCCTCCCAAAGTTCATTACAACATGGGATATAAAATATCAAGTTATAATATACGATAAAAAAAAACTTTTGCAGTAAATTATTATTTGGTAAACAGTGTTTCATTATCATAGTTCATATCGGCTGCAATAACTTTACCTTCTACCTTTACCATGTATCCAGATAAAACTAATGCAGTAAATTATCGGTTGTTGAACAGTGTTTCAAAGTAAGGAATAAGTTAAAAATGTTGATGCGCATGATATTCATCAGATGATATTGTGTGCAAAAAGAACCATACAAAAAGAACAAATGTATACATGCTATACTTATTTGAAAACACGACAATATAATTGTTTTTATTACATGCTTATCTGTTTACTGATAAAACATAGCAAAATACTATCTTTTTGAAGACTGGTAATCAAAAAATTTGTCACATACGATCATAATTGTGTGAATATTTGTAAAACAATCAGATATATAATGGCATATACAAAAATTGAATAATGTATTCATTTAGTTATTGACAAGTACTCCACTAAATGTGTTCATCCTAACTGAGTCTTGACCTAGCTGGCGGTTAGAAGCTGACGATGTTGATTTGACCCAAACTTTTTCTCCTGATCTAACTCTTACTATTGCTCCAAAAGTACTACAGGTGTAATAACTCTCAGCATAGCTTGAATCTAGTGCAATAATTTTACCTTCCAACAACAGACCAATAAAAGCATAGTTTCCGTTAAGAGCACATATATGCACATCAAACTGGTACAGTCCCCCAACAGGTGCTGTAAAAATCCCAGTAGAAGTGTCATAACCTGTTCCCTCGTTGATCACACTTTTCGTAAATATAACAATCTCATCTGAAGTATCAAGAACCAAATTTGTCACGTGATGTGCATGGAAAGCGATCGGAGGTCGTTCAAGTTTTCCTGAGTATAGAAAATAGTGAAAGAAAGTACATGTTTCTTACAATTGTTTCGTTATGATTTAAAGATGATGGCAGTACTAGTTTATTTTTAACGCAAAAGGTTCGTTAAATTCTTAATATTTCAAACTGACAATTCAAGTACTATAGTATGTGCATGCACTATAAAACAATCAATTGAATATTATGTAATCGAATAAGATTTTATAAACACAGTTTAGAAAATTATCATCCTGTGGATGTAGAATAAGAAAAAATACCTTGAAGTTGAGTAAGTTCTTCTCTTTTAGCTTCCATGTCACTCGTGAGGTTTGTTCTTGTCTCCTCAAATAATTTCTTGAAGGATTCTGTAAAAATGATATCAAAGGACAATAACTAACGGTAATCAAAGTTCAATAAGTATTATATGTGTTATTTTGTGTACATGTGAACTGTCTGCAGAAAGTATTGCTGATAATACGGAACTTGATTCGAAATATATTTTTACCATAGACACTTGTGTTACTTTTGAAATGAAACTTTAAAGAAGCAAAACAACCTGCATTCTAATATATATATATATATATATTGATTTGCCTTGCTCTCCTTCTATAATCAAATTTCATTTTTTTCTTGAATTCCTATTGGCTAAAGTGTTAGCCATTTTATGACGTAGAATATAATATATAAGGAATAATATATTTATAGTAAAGGATTATATATGTAAAATAAAGATGAGGAAATGTATTAAAAATAAGAAATTATACATGTAATTGAATATGTTGAACGATGATAGGAAGGACTTGTCTATAGTTATATCAACAGGTTAGTCAAATATAAAAAAAAAATATTCAAACTGATAATTGATAAAATATTGTACGTGAATGAACAAAAGATCCAACTAGTTCATAAAACCATTGAATTATAAAATCAGAACAAGATTTTGGAAAATAATCATCACATGGAATAAAAATGCGGACTAGTACCTTGAAGTTCTTCTCTTTTAGCTTCCATGTCACTCGTGAGGTTTCTTCTTGTCTCCTCAAATAATTTCTTGAAGGATTCTGTAAAAATAATATCAAGTACAATTACTAACGGTAATCAAAGTTCAATAAATATTATATATGTTATTATGTGTAAATATGAACTGTATGCAAAAAGTATTGCTGATAATACAAAATTTGATTCGAAATATATTTTTACATAGATACTTGTGTTAGGGATAAGAAAACCCAATTTGATCAGTTAGCTTTTTTCTTCATGGCAACATGATTGTTAGGTATAGTAATCTTAACATAAATATTTACTACAATTCTTGTTTTTTGTAGATCAGAAGTATACAAAAAGCAGAAATATCTCAAATTTGACATACAGCAGTGTTTTTGACGCACCAACTAGATAGAGCACGAGATCAACACAGGACAGAATAAGACAGAAGAGTAACAATTAATAACAATTAACAGATGAACTTATATAAATTTTACACATGTTCATGCTTGTACTTGGAATTGCAAATTATTTAACACGAGTCTGTTAATTATCAATCATTTTTATAAAAAATTACATGTGAACATTTACCATTTTCACTGTTGTTATCTTTTAACACGCTTTTCCATTTCACTTCCCATTATTTATTTATGTATTTATTCATTTAATTATTTATTCAATTTATTTATTTATTTATTTTTTAGTTTTGTTGATAATTTATTTTTACGATGCGTTTTAAAACGAGACGGATTGAGGAAACTGAAAATAGATAATCAGTATGCGACAATAAAAGTAATGCCATATTCTACCGTAAACAAACATAGAAATTTTAAGTAAATATGTCAGAATTGTAACCGGTGTATGCATTGGCTTTTTTCTTTAAAGCTTATGATTCTTTAGGTTATAACTGTTCATGCATTTGTCAAATTACCGATTTTATCATTTCAGTTTTCTTAAAGCTATAGAAACTATTATTAAATTATATTGGTTTAGACTTAAACAACAATCAGATATAATAATGCTAAAGATATAATTCATCTTTCGCATTGCATCAGTAATATTTCAGTATACATAAATCATTTTCTAACCATGTAGATCTGATGTTTATATTTTACCTTCTCTCCTTTTTATCTCGTCACTTCTCTTTAACATTTCATCTGTTATGTTCCCCTTCATATCTGCAAACATGTCCGTAACAGTTTGTTTAATGTCGCCTAATGTGCTGATGACATTATTTTCAGTTTTCTTAATTTCATTCACCATTGTTTCTACCTTAATTTCAGTTCTAATCATTTTCTCTAAAAGCTGTTCTTCATATGCAAATTTAGAACAAACAGGCTCTCTTGCCTCAGAAAAATTATAACTATATATTCCAACGACAATAACAAATGAAAAAAACAGTGAGAACCTCATTTTGATGAGGACTGTTGAAAAATAAAATCCGAGAAAATCTCCGAATCTTACTTGCTGAGAGAAACAATTGTATTTATACAAGGGAATCTGCTTTGTTATTTTGAGTATGAGGCCCGTAATGTATTTTAGTAAAGTGTTTTAGCCGAAATGCACTGATAAACGGTTTCGAAGGAAATTCCTTAGAAACAGTATAAGAGCAACAGCTTGATTTTTCCTTACATAAACTGCACTTCCCAAATGAGAATTAAGTGACAGCACTACTAGAAACAAGTCAGCATGTTTCTATGAAATGAAATACATACAGTTTATGCCAAGATCTAATAGAATAATCTGCTGTAATAAAGAAAGTGATGTTTGAAATAATTACTCTTTGGTATTGTCACAAAAGTCATGTAAAGGTGATATTTCTCTTGAAAAAAGATGAAAAATGATAGACTCGCTTTGATTGAGACTGACTGTTCATGAGATACACTGATAGTTGGAGGCACTTACCACATCCGCAGGCACCTGCTAAAGCAGTATTTGTTTTTTCCATACAATTAAGTATTATAACCAATTATCCTGAAGGTCCAGACAAAAATAATAACACTGAAATAAATTGTATTATGTAAGACAGTTACTCATGAAGTTAGTTATTTTATCGTAAGATTGGCCATTTAAACAAATTGCTACCAACAAAGATATTTGAAGCATCCATATTATTTAAACACGTTAACTTAACACCAAACTGCTGATATGAAAACGTCCTTAAAGGAGACGGTTAATTTTTCAATATAACTATAATCAGAAATAAAAACATTGAGATAAATTGTATTATGTAAGACAATTACCATTTAAAAAGGTACTAGCTTGCCAAGAGCTACCGACAAAGATAATTGAAGCATTCGTAATATTTAAAACAAACTGTTGATATGATAAAGTCCTTAAAAGAGAGGGTTAATATTTCAATATTACTATAATCAGATTTTTTAAAATAAAAATAAAACAGAATCCGTAAAGAACGCCCAAAATGACAAAATTGTAAATGTTGCAGGCTCGGTTTGATTTGCCAGTTCATGGACGGTACGGAAAATTGCAGGTTACCTACCACGCCCCATAGCACAAGCTTAAGAAGAATTCAACATAAAAACATGACAATGGTGACATTTGAATTTAGAAATAGCCGCAAAGGTATTCATACGGCGGTTAATATGAAACGTTTAATGACATACGTAAGTGCCATATTCCATGTGAAGCAAAACCTCGATTGAATTCGTTGCTATCAATAGATAAAAAAAACAACTTAATAATACTAAATGTAATAAGTAGTTAACATGTCGTTAACCATTTCAATATCACTATAATCAGATTTTTGTTTTGCTTTTAATTTCATTCTGAAGATTTAAAACTTTTGTTTAAAACTTCTTGTAGCTTCTAATTTATTGTGCTTGAAGAATTTTAACTTTTAATGGTCGTACATATAGTGATTTATTTCCACATGGAGGGCTGACTGAAATATTTGATTTCCAATGTTTTAAGATAATCATAAATAAAGTAACGAACAAGAATATCATGAGAATTGTTTAATCTATAAGTAACTAAGTTATCATGTAAATTGTTAAAATCATAGGAAACTAAGTTGTAACCTGAAAACATTAACAATCCCTTCTACCGAACCTAATTTTATAAAGAAAAATAAACATATATATTTTTGAGTAATTGAAAGGATAACATTATTATTTTTATCTTATTATTTAGTGTTTTATTTTAAGAATTTTGGTCTATATTTTATAACACTATCTTTATATCGGACACGTAGGTGATATATTTGCTCGCATTTCATGAAAATCGTGATGAAAAAATATAACAACAAGGCGTGTCTTTACAACACCCTAAAAATCCTAACTGTTGGCAACATGATAAGTGCTTCAATTTGATTCATTTATTTAACTTTCAAAAATTCAAGAAGTGTTATTTTACCGGAATATATGTATTATATGAACCAAGAAAAGTTCTAGTTATACACCAAGTTCAACTATTCTCGAAAAGGGGCTTTGTAAGTTACCATGTGATTATATACTTAATTAATATTTCCTTTTTAATTTGTTGCAATACTTTGAATGAAATTTTAGGTGCACGTGATAGACGTTTTCATTTAAATGAGAGTATTTAAATTACAACCAGATTAACAAATATAGCGCACGATGATCTTTAATGGTCACAATTTATCCAACAAAACAACGCGTAAAAATACACAAAATACAATTAATTTATGTTACTCTTGAATTCTAAACAATACTTTCATTCAAAGCAAAAAATGAAAAACCTTGGTTAGCATGTAGCAACATATATGACAAATATATCCTGTCTATATTTCCTGTTTCCAATACTCAAAAACTTCTTTAACAATGAAACACATTAAAATTAATTTTAAAAGGAAAACGAAAAAGTATGTCGTCAATATTGAAACATTTAGCATATTTTAATGATTTTCGAGCTAACTGCCCGGCTGACAACTTCACATACAATATTTTCACGTTGCATAATTAATTATTTAACACTTATTTTTATACACATGATAAAACAAAGATTATTTCAGAGGAGGCGTTTAATTTCTCATGTGTTTTTTTTTATAAAGAACCATCATTAATCTCATCTATTATCAAGTTGATTATTTTTCATTGGTTCCTAGAATAAAATGTTCTGTTGGGTGTGAAGCCAGTTTATCGATATCGGGCGGCGTTTTATTATTTTAACCGTGAACGAAATGCTACGAAATATAACTTTACTGAAATTTCTGAATTTATCATTCTTCAATAAATGAATGGCAGCATAAATCATGTTCAATCCGTTTGCTGATTGGCGTGACTGCATATTTATATTTAACATAAAATATTCAAAAATCTGGAAACTTTAGTTTTATCATATTTTATTGCTCTTACATTTTATACAAAAACAGATACATTGTCACATGTAAACATACTACAAAACAGTAACGAATACATTTACAATTATTACATGGATGTTATATTTATTTAAAAAAAAAGCAAAAGGATCGGGCCACAAGTTTTAACAACGTTAGAGAATTGGCCCTTCCTACATCGTCTCACTTGTAGTAAAAAGATGTGCATAAATTCTGTTGTAATTGGAATACCATAAATGTATATATCAGCAATTAATATGATATCATTTGATTAGAAAAATTGTTCAAAGACTAACGAAACTCAAATTAAGAAAAAGTAATAAAGAAAAGGAAAAAAAGAAAGGAAGAAAGAAAGAAAGATTGATTGAATGAATGAAAGAATAAGCACCATGTAGGAGATTCCTGCCCAGTTCCTGTCCTCAGCATTTATATATAGGTTATGGACAACAATTTAAAAGCATTGTTTGAAAATTAGTCATTTTCAAATTTCCTTGAATATTTGATGAAATTTTGAACGTGAAGGAATAACTTATTATTGTCTTTATCACTAAGTTTAGTAATTCAGAAAAGCAATTTATGGGCACTAAGAGGGTGATAATCACGAGTATTCATAAATAACGTTAGCCTTTGGTTTATATACAATCGGCACTTGAAAAAGTAATGGTCTGCATCTTCAGAATAAAAACCGCATTCACAATTTGAATTGTCACTTACGTGATTGTAGTGTTAATCAGCATTTAAATTACTACACTTATTTCTTATACGTGTGTGGTGAATTTGTAAATATCTGTCACCAGTAAGGAAATATATCGGAACTTGAGGCGGCGTAATTTTTTTTTTAATTTTGGTTTTGAAAGATGAAAGTGTATACTCGATCTTAACTGTTCCATAATTTAATGGAAGATGGTATCACTGATTCTGAATAAATTTCTAGACGTCGGGTAACAGTTGCGTAGTTTTCGTTGTTTCTTAAATTACATGTACTGGTATTTCGAACTAATTCTGGAAAAATATCACTTAAATAACAGGGAAGCTCGCCTTGGTTATGTTTAAAAACTAAAATTAATTATTTTTGCATCTTCCTTCTGTCTGCAAGTGATACCCAACCGATTTCACGAAGAAGGTTAGCGATAGATACTGACCTAGTTAGACCAGTTACAATTCGAGCAGCATCGAATTGAATGCTTTCAAGTGAATTTTGTTCATTTACAGCACACCTGTCCCACACTATAGATGCATATTCAATAATCGGTCTTAAATAGGATATAGAGATTTGATTAAGTGTTTTTCTTTTTAATTCAAACTTTAGCATTTGCATTGAACCAAGAATTTTAGAAGCAGAATTAGTTATATTCGAAATATGTTGATGCCATGTACCATCATCACTTAATGTAACACCTAAATACTTGTGAGAATGAACAAAATTAAGACTATTGTTTTGGAAGTAAATATCAGGGAGGTCGCGATTATTTTTGGAAAGTGAAAAATACATAACTTCAGTTAAAGCAGCGTTAAATTGTATTAACCACTGATTTGCCCAGGTTGATATAATTTCAAGGTCAGCGTTTATAGTACTTTCTATATAAGTTTTATCTTGCGAACTTATTGCTAATGAGCTATTATCTGCAAATAACCTTGACACTTGTAAGAGCGTCAGCTATATCATTCACAAAAATAAGGAATAAAATAGGCCCTAAAACTGAGCCTTGAGGCACACCAGCTGTTAACAATTTCTCATTAGAGTATTAAGTGCCTACAAAACTATTTGTTTTCTATTTTCTAAATAAATTGAGAACCAATTTAATAAATAACCGGTAAATCCATATTGTTTCAGTTTGAAAATGAGACCCTTATGCCATACTCTATCAAAGGCTTTACTAAAAATATGGAAACAAAGTGATCTAGTAAGTAATGTTAATTAGCTATGTAATTAGCTAGTAATGTTAATTAGTTAATAGCACTATTAAGTAATGTCACAAAAAAACTAAACATGTTGCTTTTTCTTCATCGAAAGCTTTACACATCTGATTATAAATGTCTATAAATTGGTACACGGTTGAGTGTCCTGGAAGGAAGCCTGCCTGATTTCTGTATATTAACTTATTTTCATGTAGAAAGTTGTATGGATAC